CTGATAGCCATATGCAGTTTGCGGTGAACTTCTGGCGAACCTGTGATAGCCATATATAGTTTGTGGCGAACTTCTGGCGAACCCCTGATAGCCACATATTATTTGCAATGAATTTCTCGTAAACCTCTGATAGCCATATTAAGTTTATGGTTTATTTAACTTTTATATTTAGTTGCAGCAAATCTTAGCAAAAGCAATGTCCTATATATATACAAGTACACAAACTAACATCCTGTTGGGCATGTTGGTCAAAAAGCATGATATGTATTATTATCCATTTTAATGATACTAATTTCACATATATATCTCACAAGAAACTTAAATATTCAACGTATATCCATTTAACAAATTATTTTGACTGTCTATTTTCTTTTATAGCTCGGCACTTTGTCCCTATCTCGCTGTTCATAGGTTTAACAACCTCTGTCCCATCCATTCCAATAGCAGTTACTAGTATTATATATGCGGAAAAGGGCATTAAAATGAAATGGTCATTGAAGAATGAATTTGTTGTTCATGTGTTTATAAATCCTTTTCTGGGGGAATCTTTTCTAATTCATGTGATGCTTTAGTTAGCTGTTCAGAATGAAAATGTAAAGTTATTATCATTGGCTGATGCAGAACTTTTTATAAGAGGGGAGAGGGGGGCCCATTCCAGTGATTTTCTATATAACCAACCAAAATTTTTCCCACAAAGGCGCCCCCCCCCCCCCCCCGATATGCCTAAGATTATTATAATAAGAGTATTCATTGCAAAAAAAAACAACCATAATTTCAAATTTTTTAGTTGTTTTTCAACTAAGAGGCAGTATCTACGGTTTTCCAAAAAAAAGTATTTCAAGAATATGATGTATTTTGTATGTAAAATACGATCGGACGATATTTTGATGCCCAATATAGTGTTATCGTTGTTTTTATATGTAGAATCCATTTTTATAATCAACACGGTCAAATGCAAACCGCTCATATGCACAATTCAAAGCTAACCTAACAAGTAGGCATGCTCATATTTATGTGAAAAAAAGACTAGATTAACTCTATGAATTAATACGTGGATTAAACAGAAATCTTTAAATGTGTACGGGCAGTGACTTAATTCCACCTACACGGTTTACATCACATGACCGTGAAGTACACATTCCTTATAAAGTTAATGAACATTGGTTAAACAAAAATTAGTGTTTTAATGCCAAATTACGTTCATTAGAGTAACAAAATTAACATGAAACATATTGTTTCGTTAATATTTTTAGAATATCCATTTAAGAGCCTTCACAAAAAAATACGATTTTTGTTTCAGTAGTACTCATTAGTGTCATCATTACCTTTAGTATCACGAGTAACGCTATGTCTAAACAGGATTAGGAAGGAGTCCAAAATCTAATCCTGTGCCAAATCCAGAACCATCCACAAATGAATTTTCTGAAAACCAAGAAACAAATGAATATTATATGTAACGCAAAGATAAATAAATGAGTTTTCTTCTTTCATTTTGTGGGTCTTCGTGTGTAAGTATAACATTCTCACTTCCGTTTTCCTCACTGTCATTTAGATCCTTTATTTCCGATGCTAACATGTCCTTGTGCTCTTGTTAAAAGTGATAGCTGTTTTGTTATGATATGTTCTCTTTCCCGAAGTCTTTTTACGGTATCAAATGTTATATTTGTTCTCTTTGATTTTGACCATTATCCCCTTCTTTCGGCATGTACAGAAAAAAATAAACTATAAGAAACTGAATGTGGAATCCTTTAAAAGACTAAGAAAGCGGCATATTCTAATACAGATTGTGCTTGTAGTTGTTGCACATATGACTTTGATCTTGTGTGAGTTTTTTTCTTCCACCATTTGTTTTAATGAAACGGAGTTAAAATTTCTTTACATTACTTAATCGCATAATGACTTTATCTAGCATGTGGACATTTTAAGGTATAGTTGCGATCACGTTTCGCTATTTGTTGAGCTTCTATACATTTTTTTATCCTCTCAAATTATACCAGCATCAAGGCTACTAGTTATTTCGGCCACGTGACCAGGATTGAAGGGGCCATAAATGTTCTTTGATGAGGCAAATACTCCGTTATATATGTCAACTATTACAGTAGGATAATGTCTGGTAACATGATAACTCGTTTATTTTATTATGAAATATTTAAAAAAAATAATATATATATTGATATTAAAATGAATTTCTTGTTTTTGACTTATTAAGATTAGAACTTCCAGTCAACAAGAATCCTGTATAAGAAGGATGCAAAGTTAAATGTCAAAACTAAATTAGACATCTTTCCCTGAAATCCTTCTAGTCTCCACTTTTACACAAATCCAGTATGTCATAGGAAAGTAATTCATGTGCTGGGAACAATTATTCTCTAAAGATGGAAAAGTTTATTGGTATATTGGATAAGGACAGAAATTTAGCCTTGCAACATGTCACCTACGGACCCCTCAAAGAGTTGTTGCAAGGGTTCTTAACGTGCAAAGGGCGTGGCACTCTCTTTACACGAGGCATCGGATTTAACGTCCCCATTCTGACCGGACGTGGCTGCAAATTTGTACATCCCGCACAGCCAAACGGACGCCCCACTTTAGCAAGTCGGAGGAAGACCAATGGTGACCATACTTCTATTCCCAAGTCACCCTTGGGTTAATTATTGTGCTCAGACAGTGGCCGACAAGCTCGTAACATAATTTATTTCTCGGTTCGGGGCGCCATGCCGTATACATACTGATCAGGGACGTGAGTTCGAGTCCAAACTTTTCGCAAGTAAATCGAGAAAACTAGAAGCACTCCCTATCACCCACAGTCAGACGGTATGGTAAAGCGCTACAATGGGACCCTACAACAAATTTTATCAATGTTTGTTAATGAAAATAAAGATGATTGGGATAGCCACCTCCCTTATGTTACAATGGCATACAGAGCATGTACCCACGAAAGTACGAAATGCAGTCCAAATTTCCAATGCTCGGACGCGAAATATCTTTACCAATTGATATCTTAACCGGGTTAAACCAAGATGAAAATTTTAGTTTCTGTCCAAATTTATACATTGAATGGATGCGCGACGCCATGCAAAGAGCTTTCGATAAAGTTCATGAAAATTTGCAGTCAAATTTTCATAGACAGAAAAAATACTATGATTGTAGACTAAAACACAGACAATTTGAAATTGGGAATACAGTTCTCAGATGGTATCCACCAAAAGCAAACAAAAACTTGGTTTGGGTTAGATTGGTCCTTACAAAATTAGTAGAAAATTGTCTGATTTAACCTACGAAATTGAGGATTGTCAAAATTCAAAACTTAAAGTGGTCCATGTGGACCATTTAAAATCACTTAACACCCGTGATGATACATTTGATGCTCCAGTTCAAGAAGAACAATTAACAGAACAAACATTAGATCAATCAATTTGGATTGATTACACGGTTTGATTTCACTGATATACAGATGAAAATGTTCACAAGGTTGAAACGGAACCAGCTTCTCCAAAGTATAGTAGTCGTGGCAGACAGATTGATTGATTGTTGGTTGCTTAACGTCCAGTGGCAAATAGTTAATGCATATTCAGGACGAGAACAAGTTCTTAGCTTTTTTCTAAACAATCACCTAACCATGAAAATGAGGTCAACATGCATATACATGTATGGTCAAGGACGTTTGACATATGACAGATGTAAATTTTGTAACATAAGGTATCTAATACAAAGTATTTTAAATCATCTACCTTCTGTAATATTGTTTCATGGCGTCACTATCACTATGTTTTGCTTTCTGGGACAGAAGTAAAAGACAATAAAACTGTTTTCTTTTACACATACATGTACGAACTATACACGTTGGTTATATTTCAACACAGATGATTCTATATATATTTTACTTATACATGTACATACCAGTAGAAGTCATCATAAACATTCTAGATTTTTATGTAGAAAATAGTAATATTAATTTTGAAAAGTACTCTCAGATCTGTACCTAGTGTCTTTTTCTTGTTGGAATGTACAAGTACCTGGCCACGTCCACTTGTATTTTTGTCCATCTGATGAGTTAAGCCTTTTTCAACTGATTTTTATGTTGTACTGTTATACCACTGTCCCAGGTTGGGGGGAGGGTTGGGATCCCGCTTACATTTTTAACCCCGCCACATTATGTATGTATGTGCCTGTCCCAAGTCAGGAGCCTGTAATTCAGTGGTTGTCGTTTGTTTATGTGTTACATATTTGTTTTTCGTTAATTTTTTGTACTTAAAAAAGGCTGTTAGTTTTCTCGTTTGAATTGTTTTTACATTGTCATTTCGGGGCCTTTTATAGCTGACTATGCGGTATGGGCTTTGCTCATTGTTGAAGGCCGTACGGTGACCTATAGTTGTTAATTTCTGTGTCATTTTGGTCTGTTGTGGAGAGTTGTCTCATTGGCAATCATACCACATCTTCTTTTTTATATAATGAAGAAAAAAGAATGTCATAAATAACATGAATAAGTCATGAAGGTTCAATCAAACATTTAAAGTAAAAATCTGACTTAATATTCTAATAAAGAGACTTTCCTCTCCTTACTCTTCTTGTAAAAAGTTCTGTAACAATTCCACTTACATAGAAGTTCTTTAACTTGGGTAACATTTCATCCCAAAGAGTTTGTGAAAAGTTTATTCTTTGAACATTTATCCCTTTCTTTGTCCAAACAACAAAATCTGCCCAATCTAGTTCATACAGTGCTAGCTGACCTTGTACTTGATACATATAATTGTGATTTTCATCAAGATAAAGCTTAGAGTCTCTCTCTGTACAAAAGAATTTTTTGTCCTTGCCACATTCAATGGGAAGCATATTTCTCCAAGGTTTGTCATTAACATCAGAGCCATAACGACACTTCACTTCAACAATGCCAGTTCCACACTTAGAACATACCACTAGACCATCAATACTTGCACCAAGATAGGGATAGGTGGGATTTACTAACAGTCCACATGATTCGATACGGACATCATCACAAGTTTTCAAGTGTGACCTGTATAATCCCCAATTGCAACAGCTTCATTTTTGCGCCCATATTGAAGACTTTTCACTGCATCTGGTATCGTAATGTACTCACACAATTTTTTCACCAAGTTATCAGGCTCAAATTTTTTTCGCTTGACAACTTCCCCCATTACTGAAGCTGTAATTAATACACTTCTGGCCTTCTTCCAATTTACATTAAAATGCTGACCCCTTGTAGCTTTCTCTAAATTCTCACTAATCTTGGAAGTGACCATCAAGCTGTTAACAAACGCTTCAAATACGTTTAAACATTCTGCTGATTTGATAATAACATTATCCATATAAGTTAAATTGGTTTGAAATAGATCTAAAAATGTATCAATGTTTGCATGTTCTGGCCGCAAAGTCTGATAAAGTACACACTCGGGGTACACATCCTTTAGTCCATCTAATATATCATGCAAGAATAAATTGCCTTCTTCTCTACAAGGTCCAGCTTGATATACTCCAGGGTATGGTTTTATTTTTTCAGCTTTTTGTTCTTTTTCAGTTTTAACAAATTTAATGTCACACACTCGTTTTGGACTTGGTTTTCTTTGTAGTGGCCTAGGTCTATCCCATCCACATGCATTAGATGTACATGCATCTTTTGTCTTAACAAGTGTGTACAGAAGTGCACCTACGTGTGCACATAGCCCTGCTCCCCCTGCTTTACAGTTACAAAAAGCACTAACAATTAGGCCAGTGACTTTGATGGTACTTATATGCAGTGAATAGTACTTTGCAGTATTTCCAGTGTCTCCGACTTGTACAATTTGTCTCATAGAAGGCATACATTTACTCCTAAAATAATTATGTTCTGATCCTTGATTAATAGGATTATATTCAATGTCTCTTATGAATCCTTCGTTGCACAATCTTTTTGCCTTTTTCATTTGCCTTTCAAAATTGGTACTCTCCCCAGTTGTGGGATTTTTGTGGTACATGAAATAGCTGTCAACATCTTTAATGGATATTTCTGGAATATCAGTAAAGTCTAGTGGTTTCCATGGATTTGAAACTAAATCAATTGGAATAACTGGAAAACTTTCTTCTTCTGAAAAGTCTGAGTCCCCATTTGACATTGCCCTATATACACGTTTGACTAATGTATCCTTTAAACCTGATTTCTTTAAATTTCGCTTTTCCAACCAATCCTTTAATTCCGGATCTTTCCATTTTGACAGTTCTGCCAATGACAGCTGTTCTTCTTGACATTCTGACTCTGAATCTGATGACATAACTCTGAAAAAAAAAATTATTAAACTCTTATCGCTCACTAGAAATTTTCAAATTTTTCAAAGCATAATATTTTTCTCAAATAATTTAAAATATCAAGATTTTACACAGTACAATTAAAATAACTATATATCATTGAGATGGGAGCCATCTCTGTAGGCCCCGCTGTGAATAATGTGTGGTAAAAAATTTGTATCTTTATCATTGGACATGGGGTTGTCAACTGAAACCGAAGTTTATGACCTTGACCTTTGACCTAGGAAGCTGTACATAAATTATGACACACCCTCTGGTGTTGGTTTATATACATGTCAAGTATAAACTTTGAAATCATAACGGTTCTCAAGATATAGAGCGGACAAAATCTTTACCATAGGACATGGGGTTGTCAACTAATACCAAAGTTTTTGACCTTGACCTTTGACCTAGGAAGTTGTACATAAATGATGACACACCCTCTGGTGTTGGTTAATATACATGTCAAGTATAAACTTTGAAGTCATAACGGTTCTCCAGATATAGAGCGGACACAATTTGTTACGGACGGACGGACAGACTGATCACTATAGGGCGTCCGCCATTCGGCGTGGCCCTAATTATCATAACAGTCTTCACGGTACACTTTTGAGGCCACAAGCTTGAAGCTCAATTTTTTGAAAATTTTAGTTGTACAGAAGAATTTTACAAGCCTGAAAGCATTTTTACAAGCCTGGGCCGTATGACTTGTGGTCAAGCCTGAAGACAGTCATAAAGATGTACAACTCATTACTAAACTTTGTGTCTTTTTTTCTTGTGAATGTCACAGCCTTGACGATAAACTTCTGAACTTTATGAAAATTTTATAAAGATTCCATTGGCATGTTCAAATGAGTTTTACAGGCCTGTAGTTACATATTTGTAAGTGGGAAGACGGGAGTGATGTATAAATAAACGGCCACCTCCTGTCTGATTTTGTATGATGTATTTTCTGCTTTAAATCAACCCTATGAGTTGAGCCCTTTTTCAATTGCAGCTTGTGCTTGTCAGGAGCTTGTAGTTCAGTAGTTGTCATTGGTTGATAATTGTCACATTTCATATGGTAATTTGTTTTGACAAAATTTGTTAAAAATTAGGTTGGTAACTTTTCTCAATTGAATTGTTTCATAACTTTACTGTCATGGCTTTTTATAAGTGACTAGAGAGTATGGGTTTTGTCAATATATGTTGAAGGCTGTACGGTTGCCTATAATTGCTTAAATCCACGTCATTTGAACTTTGGTGGATTTTTGCCTCATTGGCATTGATCATGTTGATTACACATCTCTTTATTTTTATATGTGTAGATATCAATAAAATAACCATTAACTGACTCGAAATGTAAATTTTATTTGTACAAGGCTTACAAACAGGTAGAAAACATGGCTTTGCCAAACATTTATATCCTGTTATGAGCGAGAAAATTTGAATTCACAAAATTTTCACTTATTTTAAAGACTTTGTACATGTTAAATATTAACATGTTTATCAGGGAATTAATCATGTTACATGCACATGAGTTAATCCATAATATTATAAAGGTTTGGGAGGATCTGGATCCTTATAAATGGGTTCTATCCTCATTAATGGGTATTATACATGTTATACCCAACAAATTTTCATTGATAAAAATATAAGCTTTGGATTCAAAGATATTTTCTGTTGTGGTGCACGCATTCGGGTAAGGGACTTCATTTTGCCTAAAGACAACATAACTGAACATGCTGAATATGATCATCAGGAACAAAGTTAACAGCTGGCCCAAGAACATAGTTATTTTGTAGTGCGTTTCTTTTAAACAATAAATGCAAATTAAAAAATGTACATGTATATCCAAATAAAAGAAAAAAGTAGGATTTGTATTTAAAAGTTCTCATTTGAACTATGGTCTTAAACTTAAAGGGAAAAACTTTGCCATGTAAATGAATATTTGCATTATGACAGGTATTATGAAGATATACAATTTTTTTTAACACTAAATAGTTGGTAATCTGATAGTAATGATACATGTACCCAATTTTGGATATAATATATCCTATTAATTTATAGTATTTATCATTTTATGAGGATTCTCCTTAACCATTTTAAAGCTTTCTTATGTTTTTCGAAAAAAATCTGATGATTATGAGGCACAGATGTTCAAAATGTGGATTTCAAACAAACAAACACGGATATATGTGTAAGAATTTGTCTTTAAATCATGTTGGTTGAAGAAAAACAACATCTTGTTTTCACATGTATTGATTCCAATTTCGTGCTTTTTACGCTTTACTATCACATTTATGACAAGAAGCATACTAATAAATCTTAACCTTACCATAAATTAACGTAACTTGTTGAATAGAATTAATACATGGTCGCTCTCCTTTCTGTTATACTGTGATGAATGGCTTGTTATGAATTTTCCTGCGTAAAATGGAACGTCCCGGAAGTGAAAATCTGTAAATTCTAATGATCGGAACGTAAACGGAAAAAAACCCGGAACGGATATTGCGGAACTCAACCATTTAAAGAGGATTTGTTTCATTTTTATTGTGTTCACGGAGATCAAATATAATTTTTGGTTTGGGAAGTTCCCATGGAGGACATTTGCAAGTTTCAACTTGAGCAACAGATTTTAAATCAAAAGTAGCTAAATGTGGTTTTAAACGTATACCTAACGGAGGAATTATGATTACCTACCTACTAGGTCTGATGAGTAGTGTAATAAGATATACCCTGAGGTCTACCTATTTATTTCTTTGGTTTGACCATAAGCACTATTGTGTCACTGTTGTGGCTTTTTTTATCAATCCAGGATCTGAAGGGAGAAAAGACCCTTTCTCTTCTTTCCTACCTCAGGAATAGATTACCTTAGCTGTATTTGGCAAAACTATTAGGAATTTTTAGTCCTCAATGCTCTTTAACTTCGTACTTTATTTGGCCATTTTAACATTTTTTGATGTGAGCGTCACTGATGAGTCTTTTGTAGACGAAACGCGCGTCTGGCGTATATATGAAATTTCCATCCCGGTATCTATGATGAGTTTATTTTCGGCCTATATTCATACTTAGAATATTCTCCAGAAGAGGTATTTTATGATATTTCATGTCACTTTGAGGAGTTTTGCTTGAACAGGGAACATGGTTTCTTGGAGAATTCACGATTTTGACACGATGTATTTCATGTTTTAGATTACTTATAACTACCGTAATGTGAATTTTCAATTAGAGGAGATAATTGTTTCAATAAGTCTTGAATTTGTTAAGGATACCATCTATCCGTATACGAGTCAATTCCGACAATAAGTCTATTAAGAGGCGGGTTTGCTGCCTCATGTCGAAACTGTTTAAAATAATTGGATTATAATTTTTCTTCACCGAGGCAACTACCTCAATATTCTACCGTATGCTTCGCCATTGGATTGATGTGAAATAATTTTATCGTATACAATATTTTTCCAGATGAACCACAAGGTCTGCAGAAACTGTTGATATTTATCACGAGCTTTGGTAAAGTCCCTCCAGTAGGATTCGACCCTCCAATACAACTGAGTTTCAAACATACGGATAATGACGACAGTGAAATGCAGTGTCTTATGCAAATATTGTTTTTCTTATATTTTACAGATTTCCGTAGTGTCGTCTTACGTTGTTTTCAAAGAAAGGATGCTATTGGCTGTTCAGCTGGGTACAAGTTTTACCAACCATTGGAAAGTGAACAGCAGTCAAACAGATGATAATCATTACGGTGTTACATTGAATAGACCTAAGGAAGGTTCAGTCTATTGATAAAATGAAAAAATCAAAATGTGCTTTAAATATTCAATATGAGTAGAATTTTAATTTACACAGCACAGCGATATACATTAATTTTATTTGTTTTGAATTATTCATTTCATTTAAGCTTCCTTTGTCATATTATACAACAGTTTTATTTTTAAGCAGTTAAGCTGCTTTATGCAAGCACCCTAAATTTGTGTTCTACCCAATAAATGCTGAAATATGTGCCACTGTTGTTATCTGGCTGGCTGTTATGTTATTCATAACTAATTTAACACTTTTTTCATACTTTTTATTCTGGAATACAAAAAATATGACCATAAAAACCTTAAATGATCGTCGAATCACCCAAAAGATTTAGAAGTTGCACATAGGAAGTAGTGCTCCATAGAAATTCTTCTGTAGTTTATTATCACCTGTGCTGTTGGCTAAGATGTCAAATATTGTATGAAATATTTAATCGCCGGAAATCTCTAAAGACGAGTCGTTTACATTTTATTTTTATATTTAGTTCATTTGGATACAGGGGAAATAAACTCATTATAGATACCAGGATTAAAATTTTATTAGAACCCACTGTCCTAATAAATGAATATCTCAGGAATAATCAAATGCATATTTTTTTAATATTTATTTGGAATAAGTAATCTTGGTAAAAACAATAGGTTTTCTTGCCAATACGCAACTATTATCAGTACCCGCTTTGCGCATGCGTCAAATTTGACCATAATGGATATCGATAAATTTACTATAGATTGTGTAAGGAAATCTTAAATTTTGATTACCTGTCAGTAAAAAATCATAAAATTTATTTTTCATTGGCATCAATTTTGAAAGTTCAATTTTTAAGCTTTCTAAAAAAGCTTAAATCTGCATCAGAAAACCAGACACAAGAAAATGAAGGTTCATAAGAGAAAAACATACCCTCACACGCTGATCATGAACTGGAACCAGACAGATTGTCAGCTTGTATCAGGCGGCGACTGGACCATGGAAAAAGAGGGTACTCAACAGTTCAGCATTTCAGGCTTAGACAACAAACGCCTTCTACTAACAGTCAGCATGAGTGGCGATCTTCCTCGTGGTCACGTCCTGTCAGAATGGGGACGTTAAATCCGATGCCAGAGAGTATCACGCTCTTTGCACGTTAAGAACCCTTGCAACAACTCTTTGAGGGGTCCATAGGTGGCCTGTTGCAAGGCAAATTTTGTGGTCATATCCAATATACCCTTTATTCAGTGGCAGTCCAAATCTTGTTCAATATGAAATAAGAACAAAAATAAATAAATGTTGATTATTACTCAAAATTGTCTATCAGTCTCGGTACATTATACAATACACTTATGTCATACCCCAAAAAATTGAATTTCTGGTTGATAATAGATAACAATGTAGTTCAAGTAAAGATATATATAATATATATTAAATCACATGTTTCTCACGATTCATATGAATTTTTTGAAATAAAATATTCCAACAACTTGTTTCGACTCGCTCTGCTCTGTGGTACTTATTAGATTTATGTGACTCAGTAACTTGGCTTCATTCATAAATTATCTTTTATCTATTATGTTGTTATGTTACAACAGGTAAAAAACCTCAAAGCTTATCACCGGGTAAATTTACATCTCAACAACGGGAACGTTTGAATAGAAAGAGAAAGAGGGAAAAGGCAAAAGCTGTTTCCCAAGATGAGAAAACGGAGGGACAAAAAAGGAAGCAGAGTTTTACATGGTGAATTGGGACCCTTTAGGTTTTGGAGCCTGTAAGCCCTGGTACATAAAGTGTCCCTGGTATCTATATGGTATTTTATTTATCGAAAGTCGTTAATTTGAATGTACCGATGACAACAAAATTATTTTCATATACATGTGGTCGTGCATGGTAAGGTCGATTCTACCAAATCTTAAAATCTTAGAATTTGACGAGCTTAATTATTATTGAAAGGTCCAGTTTCGCAGTGGCGGTAAAATAGCCGATGAAGTTTATCAGAGGCGTGGTTATTGCCTGAAATACGGCAACAATCGCGATTTCTGAACGCCTTTACGGAATTAATGATACACAATTACAACAATTTGGAAATAGAGAGGATTAGGTACCTGGGATAATAGCATATGACCCAAAAAAGATAACCTTTGGTCCAATCCCACCAACACCGATTTAACAAGTTGACTATTCTACTAGGATCACTACTATATAAACTGGTCAAGATGATGCTTCCAGATCATTGTGTACATATTTGTATTGTATTGTTTATATGCCTGAAACCCCTAAGGGTATAAATGTGCATTCCATTCATAAATAAATAAATAATAACCAAAACCAAGCAGTAATTAAATACTAGTACAACATTGATGGAATGTGTTATTTAATTGACAACATCAACATCAGTAGTAATCAAGTGTCAAACATCAATTAAAAAAAAAATAGGATTACCTAGATTCCAGAAAATACTGCTATTTTACTTCTGATTAAAATGTATTCATTCAAATTTCACATCCTTACATCGTAGCACCTCAAATTTGAAGGTAAAATTCAATTTACCATGTGCTTTCTCTATTACACGGGTGAATTTCCCTTCATCAGATCTCTCGAGACTTGGGATTCTTATTTCCCTGAATCTGCTCTTTCCAGACTTGGTATTGTAAATTTCCATTTTTAATTTTGTACTGAAAATATATATATGTTTTTGTATCTGTAACATATAAAAAATAAAACATTTTTTTTTTATATTTTGTAAACAAATAATTTATGTTCAATTTAATTCATCTTTTCTGTGTCAATATTCAGAAGTTTAATTATTGAGATATAATTTCTATATATTGAGGATCCATGATTGCTTTGAATTTAATTTGATTCTGTGTTGAATTCTTTGTCTATGACTTGTAGTTCAACTTGTGTCTCCATTGCATCACGTTTTTATTTGCAACTAATAGAATAATGTCGAGACAACCACTTCATTCTCCTGTTGCGGAGCAACTGTTTTTGTCGGTTGTTGTGAAACAACCTCCTCCACCTTTTCCTCTTGGACCTTCTGCTGGGAACCACAACTTTCCCCTTTCTGTTCCAGCAGGAACTAAGTTGTCTATCACAGAAACCATAGAATCACTTGGCTTATAGAACTGCCTGTTCCTGCATAAAGTTTTCAAGGGGCCATGGGAGCTATATTTCTCTGTTGCGATGATATTTTGTTTGGAGGGTGGCAAACTATGAAACCATGCAGTGTTAAATGCCTGGAAGCTTTATCTAACTATGCAAGTCATTTAAGGAATATTTTCAGCTATGGATATGGTATATGATATATCCTGGTTAGGATTAAATTACACAAAATAAAAGCAAAAGCAGTTTATGAAAGAATTTAACGTTATAGAAGTATAATCTCTCAAAATATTTCTCGAATGACTTGTATAGTTAATAAGAAAATTCCAATTTGGCCTGTATTTTGTCATTCAATTTATGTTTGCAAGCCATCTTTTCGAGAAAAAAACAACAAACAAATTACATTTTTGCAACATGTATATAATGGTCTTTTTTGCTTATATTTTCCATTACAAAAGTTGAGTAGCTGCCTGGTTCTTTAAATGTTATTCCCTGTGGCAAACCACTCACACAGAAATTTATTTGAATCAAAGACATA